ATAGACTAGACTATAGACTAGACGATAGACTAGACTATAGACTAGACTATAGACTAGACTATAGACTAGACTATAGACTAGACTATAGACTAGACTATAGACTAGACTATAGACTAGACTATAGACTAGACTATAGACCAGACTATAGACTAGACTATAGACTAGTATAGACTAGACTATAGACTAGACTATAGACTAGACTTTAGACTAGACTATAGACTAGACTATAGACTAGACTATAGACTAGACTATAGACTAGACTATAGACTAGACTATAGACTAGACTATAGACTAGACTATAGACTAGACTATAGACTAGACTATAGACTAGACTATAGACTAGACTATAGACTAGACTATAGACTAGACTATAGACTAGACTATAGACTAGACTATAGACTAGACTATAGACTAGACTATAGACTAGACTATAGACTAGACTATAGACTAGACTATAGACTAGACTATAGACTAGACTATAGACTAGACTATAGACTAGACTATAGACTAGACTATAGACTAGACTATAGACTAGACTATAGACTAGACTATAGACTAGACTATAGACTAGACTATAGACTAGACTATAGACTAGACTATAGACTAGACTATAGACTAGACTATAGACTAGACTATAGACTAGACTATAGACTAGACTATAGACTAGACTATAGACTAGACTATAGACTAGACTATAGACTAGACTATAGACTAGACTATAGACTAGACTATAGACTAGACTATAGACTAGACTATAGACTAGACTATAGACTAGACTATAGACTAGACTATAGACTAGACTATAGACTAGACTATAGACTAGACTATAGACTAGACTATAGACTAGACTATAGACTAGACTATAGACTAGACTATAGACTAGACTATAGACTAGACTATAGACTAGACTATAGACTAGACTATAGACTAGACTATAGACTAGACTATAGACTAGACTATAGACTAGACTATAGACTAGACTATAGACTAGACTATAGACTAGACTATAGACTAGACTATAGACTAGACTATAGACTAGACTATAGACTAGACTATAGACTAGACTATAGACTAGACTATAGACTAGACTATAGACTAGACTAGACTATAGGCTAGACTATAGACTAGACTATAGACTAGACTATAGACTAGACTATAGTCTAGACTATAGGCAAGACTAGACTATAGACTTCATGTTGTATCTTATTCAAAATGTAATCCCATCGACTCCATTCCAGTATTTCCTCTTCGATCTAATAAACTACACAACTTTAAAAAATTCTAAGGAAATTTCCTAAAAAAATAAATTTCAATTAACACTTTTATTCTTAATTTTTATTTCCTAATGATTATTTATGTGTTTGCACATAATAATTTATTCACACAGATGTACAATGTGAAAAACATTTATATGAACAATTCAAACAAAAATAAAACAATTAAAATAATAATATTAAAAAAAATAAAAAACTAGAAAAAATCGGCAAAATATATAGAATCAACATGGGATCACCCACAATGCATTCAAATGAAAACGAAATTGCCATAATAAATGTTCACAAATCAATCACCTCATTTTTTAAATAAACACAACAGAAACTACAAAAGAAATGGCTACAAAGAAAACAACAACAGCAGAAAATTTGCACAGTAGTAAGGGATAAAAAAAAAGTAGAAATAAATGAAAATTTCATTGTTTTATTAGAACATAAAAATGTTCGTAATGAATGTTTAAAATAAAATTATTTATGAGTTTAAAAATAGCTGAAACAAACGAACGAGCAAGTGAACACATCACGCACACACACACAAGCCCAGCCAAAACAATCAAAAACATCATCATCATCATTATCATACACAAACAACACTGACGGCGTCAGTCCACTACTACCCACTGGATAAAAAAAATTTAGAAAATAAATTTGAAAAGAAATTAACAGAACTGTTGTTACTTTTCGTCATTTTGGTCAGTCGTCGTCGTTTGGACAAAATGACTGTTTGTCTAACAATGTTATTTAGACATTTTTTTTTATTTTTTAGTTTCAAATATAAAAATAAATATGTTAGCCAAAGCAAAAAATTAAAAAAAAAAATATTTGACAACGACTCGTGTTTTGTATTTTTTTTTCTGCTACATAAATATTTTTACCAAAATATTAAAACATTTTTGCTAATATCGTTTTATTTTTGTTGGTGTTTTTGCGAGTGGCAAAAATTAGTTTTCGATTTTTCTTTGGTTGTTGTTTTTGTTTTTCAAAATTAAATGAAACAAAAAAAAAAAAAATAAATAAAAATTAATTATTAAAAATACACAATCGCATGTGAAGATATTGAATTTTTAGTCTATGATCTGGTGTGTATTGGTGGCATTTCTTATACTACATCACAATTGGATAGGGTAAAGGTAAATTAAAACTTCCAAAAAGTAATAAACATTTTTGTAATTTTTTTGGAAGCTCTTATATTACTTAGAGAGCCTACCTTTGATATCAACCTCCCTTAAAGACTGAGTAGGTCTTCTACTCTTCTGTTAGTAAAGAAGTTTTTGCGTCTTGGTAAAGTCCTAATTTTGTTAAGAAATCGTCTATATATGTATATCTTAAGTGTTCCTATATAGAAAATTTTACACGAGCTTTCCTATTCAGAAAGTTCTATTGCTAGTAAGCTGCTTAAGTTTTTCTATGTAAATAAAAAGCTCCAACGAAAGCTAACAGCTCAAAGATTCCTCTAAAGAAAGCTTAATTACAAGTCAAGTTAGCAAATTAAGTTTTTCGTATACTTAAAGCTCCTACTTGGAGACAGGAAGGAATTCAAGCTTTCTTAAATAGAAAGCTTTGTCTCAAGTTAACAGCTCAAGTTTTTCTATACAGAAAGCTCTAACGCTTCAAGCTTTCGTATACAAAAAGCTGTCTTGTAGTGCAAACAAAAATCCCTATAGCAAGCTAGCAGCTCAAGCATTGCTATACAGAAGACTTAGTCAAGCTAACAGCACAAGAATTGTTGTACAGAAAGCTCTGTCGCAAACTAGTGGTTAACGATTTCTATACAAAAAGCTTTATAGCAAGTTTGCAACTCAATCTTTTCAATTTTGACAAAAGTTCTAATTGGTAAAATATTTGCTGTAACTTAGTCAAGAGATAAAGGGTATGAATTAATGACAGACTTCAAAGTTTCCTTTACAAAAAGCTTTATCACAAGCCATGTTGGCAATTTAGGTTTTCGTGTACTTAAAGCTCTTACTTGGATACAGGAAGGAATACAAGCTTTCTTAAATAGAAAGATCTGTTGCAAGTAAGCGGCTCAAGTTCTCCTCAAGCTCAAGAAATCTCTTTCGAAAGCTAACGCTTCAAGCTTTTATATACAAAAAGTTATATCACAAGTTGTGATGATCCCCCCGGGGCATGTTTCCATGATGAAAATCACCATCTTGGTGTATTACAATCCCGGGGTATAGGGGTGCTACCAATACCCCTAGTCTGCCGGGACTATAAACTAGTGATGATCAAATGTATCCTCGGCCTTTCCTTGGAATGATTTGACATGGGGTCTAACCAGAGTACCATATAATCTGGCACTACGGGTGGCCGGTTGCTCACAGGACCTAGTCCTGACTGTTAATTGGTTGAGGTTCCTTCGGGATCCACGTAGTGCCTGTGGCTGTTATACCCAAATTCGCGGGGAGAGAACGTTGGTTTAAGGAATCAACAGATATCACTGGGTGATGTGACAGAGCAACTTATGCTGGATTCCTAAAACCGTTGAGTATATCTCACTCTTCGCATAGTAGGGGCGCCAGTATATGTTGCCTGTCATTCCGTATATCGTTCTTTATGGTCTGAGAATGGAACTGAAGTAATTGGTAAACGATCGGAAAAGACTCCTCTGCCCGACAGGAGACTTTTACTGATTTAGTAGACCTTTTACTTCAGGGAAGTTCTCGGAGCTGTTACCATCTCAACAGAATTCATATTGTTTCATGCTACGTGACATATGGTTGAGGTCCGTTCCCCCAACTCGTCGGGGCAATTATTGGATTCAAAAGTTCTCCTCCCAAACGCTTGAGCTGGATCCTCGCCTGCTATACATAAAGTTCTATCGCAAGCTAGCAGCTCAAGAAAGGTCTTTCGTAAACTAGTAGCTTAAGCTTTCTATACAAAAAGCTTTATCGAAAGCTGGCACCAAAGCTTTTCATTTTTGACAAAAGTTCTAATTCGTTAAATATGTATATGTTGTAACTTAGTGAAGGGATAATCAAGTTGGTTAAAGGATAAGAGTTAATGTTAGATTTAAAAGTTTGTTGTACAAAAACTTTATTACAAGCCAAGTTAGCAATTTAAGTTTTCATATACTTAAAACTCCTATTTGGAGACAGGAAGGAATTCAAGCTTTCTTAACTGAAAGCTCTGTCTCAAGTTTAGTAGCTTTCTATACTGTAAATGAGTTAGGTTTCATATTGTACAACTACATAGGAAATTGTAGGAAATTGTTTTTCCGGGAAAAAAACCTGTCATGGACTGACAGTCATTGGAAAAAGCTTATGCATAAACTTTAGATCCGTTTCAGCAAATTTGATGCCCCGAAGAACAGTTTCTAGTCTATAGCAATAAAAAATCGAAATAACAATGGTGGCCTCCGGTAGGTTAGTTAGTGTCCTAGTCTGGTAGACCGTAGGTCGTCATATATACATTCTCCTTCCCAACTACTTAACTAACCGGGTTCGATACCAGTTTTCCTCTCTATCTCTCTTCCCTATTCAAAGCACAACGAGTATTAAAAACACATCCCAGTATTAAATATAAAAACGTGGTGACTATAAACAATAGAAAAAGCAAAAACGAATGAAAATAAGAACACAAAACTTCTATATACGTCATATAATAAAAAAGGTCATAAAAAACACATATAGTATATATCCTTAAAATACTAATGTGTATATATATATAGATAGATTATCATGTCTATATAGATTGATATACAATACAGAACGAAATGAAACATACCGCTGGTGATGTACGCTGTTGTAGCTCATTTTCAATAGATAAAGTGCGTGTGTTTATCAGCAAAGCTTCTGGCCATAAACTACTACGTCGTCGATGACCTGTTTGTTGCTGTTGAAGCGGTTGTTGTAGTTGCTGCTGTTGTAGCTGTAGTTGTTGCAGCTGCTGTTGTTGATTGTTTTGATTGTGATGATGGTGCTGGTGATAATGATGAGGATAATAATGATGATATTGCAAAGAATGTAAACTTTGCCTACTGGTATTACGACGAAATTGAGGAATTTGTGAGGAAGAACAGGATTTCGATAACAATGCTAATTCCGTAGGCGTTGTTGGTTCAGGTGTATTACCACCAGAAGCCTCCAAAGAGGGATGATAAGAATAACGTCTATTACGTGAAGCTTTATTGTCGATTAAATCCGTATTGATGATGGTATCATTGGTTTTAAGGGCTAAATGATTTTTAAAGGGTTGTGATAGTGTCGAAGAAGAGGAAGATGAGGCGGATAAAGAGACATCACTTAGATTCTCTAGACTCTCACGACTTTCTTTGATGGAGGTTATCGTTGATATCTGAGAAGTTCTGGAGATTAAGGATTCTGATCTATTAAGCATAGTAGAAGGCATGGAAGTGGCAGGAGGACAGCTGCTAACTGCTGCTGCTGTTGCTGCGGCTGCTGTTGTTGTTTGAGACGGAGTTGAGGGAGTATATGGTGCAACACCATTTACCGTACTGTCAGTTAGTTCCATGCATATAACTTCTGCTGGCTCTTGGTGGTCGCAGAAACTCCAATGAACTTTACGTTGTTTATTATTCAAATCACTAAAGTTGCAAAAAAATTAAAATGTTTTCCAATTATGAAAACAATTTATAAATTAATAAAAACAAAAAATATTTTTCATATTTTTTTTTTCTTTTTTTTTGGCAAAATTTACTTAATATTGACACAACAGATGGAAATTTTAAGGTTGTGTCACTTGAGAAATTTTTGAAGAATCACAGCAACAACACTTTTAAAAAAAAAAAATAATGACTAATATTTTGACACTTTGAGGTTTTATTTAATTATTTTCTTGTAGAAAAACTTATTATTTGAATTATTTCTAAAAAATTAGTTTTTTCCCAAAAATTTTTGAAATTTTCAACAACTTTTTAAAAACTTATTTTCTTAAAATATTTTTATTTTAAAATTTATTTCGTTTTTACGACTTTTTTATATTTCGAAATTAATTAACATTTTATGACTTTATTTATTTAAGAAAAAAAACTTTTACATAAATTTTCTTTTTCACAAATTTTTCGATAAATTTTTTATTTTTAATATAGATATTTTTTTATTTTGCTCTATTGGCGTTTTAACAATAAACAACACAAATATATATTTTCTTTTCGCTTTCTATTTTTTATTTAAAAACACTTGAACACAAAATATATTTATTTTTTTTTTTAAACAAGAATTTTCAACAAAACACAAGCAAAAAAAAATTGAGTTGAAAAAAAGTGATAATAGAACAAGAAAAACAATTTTCAATACTTTTCAACAGCAAAAGATTTCCGCGCGTTCATCTTTGCCAGAGAGTTTCATTGATTTTACTGAAACACTTTATTGTTGCCACAATGCGTAACGGCTGAAAATATTGAAAAACTAAATTGAAACAACAACAGCAACAAAATATACCCAAAATAAAGAGCACAAAAGACATTTTGAAAAGAAGATCACTCAGTTGAATGCAGAAAGAAGAAGAAGCTCTCCACACAGCAGCAGCAACAGCATCATCAACATCATTATCGTCATCACAATCAATAGATCGACATCATTATGGCGTCAATAGAGAGCAACAACAGCAACAGGCATATTAACAACATTATTATTTTATCCGTTTTTGAAAATTTCAATGGATAACAGAAGAAAAGAGCAAGAAAATGTTGGAATACCGTAACATTTTATTTAGTTCCCATTTTTATTCAGCCATAAGCATTTTATATGATTTTTATTTAAAGAGAATTTTTATCACTTTTTCATTAAATATAGCTTTTCATCGACCAGCCAGCCAGCAGCACTTACCAGCAACAGCAATTTGCCAGCTCTAGTCAGTCACACATTCACACATGACTCTCATTTATCTTGTAAATTATTGTCATGATTTTCTTATTTTGTTCAGTGTTCTACACGCTAAAACATTAATTAACGGGACTGTTCAGAAACCAACAACAACTACAAAGCAAATCAAAAACACTTAAAGAAATTTCACTCCAAACACAACGGATCGGCCGAGGTGAATCATTTATGCACAATTATAATTATAAGAATGATTTAAATATGAAAATTTTTTGTTTTTTTTTTTTTTTTGGCGACCGCAATATAGACATTTGTTATTTTATTAACCCATTTGTTGTCAGTTTATAAATTGAAACAGAACAACAGACAAGTGTATAATAGCAAATCAGCAGCATTATTTTAAACTAATACAAGCAGCCCGTGATTGCCTGCCTGCCTGCATGCATGCACCATGGGCCAGATGTTGTTTGCGTGTATGTGTGTGTATTGTTTTTAAAAAGTGATATAAATATCTTGTAACAGAGAGTTCAATAACATTTAGAAGATAAACAAAGAACAATTAAAAATAGGTGTAATGGGAAGCATATAGGAAAAGTATACAAAAATAGCATTTAACATAATTTAGAACAATTTTCAAATATTTAGAGAAATTACTTTATTGGAGGAATTATGGTGTGTGTTTAATTATGTGTGTCCTAATTAGAGAGACTTAATTAACATTAATCTAATTCAATTTTTCTAGAAATTTTTTAAAGAGAAAATATTGTTCAAAAAATCTTCTTTTGAATTCCTCATTCCATTGATAAAGCAGTATTATTGCACATTTGAATTATTTTGGGATGTAGAAGAACATACATCATCTATAATTAACTAATTAACTAACTAACTAACTAACTAACTAACTAACTAACTAACTAACTAACTAAGTAACTAACAACTAACTAACTAACTAACTAACTAACTAACTAACTAACTAACTAACTAACTAACTAACTAACTACTAACTAACTAACTAACTAACTAACTAACTAACTAACTAACTAACTAACTAACTAACTAACTACTAACTAACTAACTAACTAACTAACTAACTAACTAACTAACTAACTAACTAACTAACTAACTAACTAACTAACTAACTAACTAACTAACTAACTAACTAACTACTAACTAACTAACTAACTAACTAACTAACTAACTAACTAACTACTAACTAACTAACTAACTACTAACTAACTAACTAACTAACTAACTAACTACTAACTAACTAACTAACTAACTAACTAACTAACTAACTAACTAACTACTAACTAACTAACTAACTAACTAACTAACTAACTAACTAACTAACTAACTAACTAACTAACTAACTAACTAACTAACTAACTAACTAACTAACTACTAACTAACTAACTAACTAACTAACTAACTAACTAACTAACTAACTAACTAACTAACTAACTAACTAACTAACTAACTAACTAACTAACTAACTAACTAACTAACTAACTAACTAACTAACTAACTAACTAACTAACTAACTAACTAACTAACTAACTAACTAACTAACTAACTAACTAACTAACTAACTAACTAACTAACTAACTAACTAACTAACTAACTAACTAACTAACTAACTAACTAACTAACTAACTAACTAACTAACTACTAACTAACTAACTAACTAACTAACTAACTAACTAACTAACTAACTAACTAACTAACTAACTAACTAACTAACTACTAACTAACTAACTAACTAACTAACTAACTAACTAACTAACTAACTAACTAACTAACTAACTAACTAACTACTACTAACTAACTACTAACTAACTAACTAACTAACTAACTAATTAACTAACTAACTACTAACTAACTAACTAACTAACTAACTAACTAACTAACTAACTAACTAACTAACTAACTACTAACTAACTAACTAACTAACTAACTAACTAACTAACTAACTAACTAACTAACTAACTAACTAACTAACTAACTAACTAACTAACTAACTAACTAACTAACTAACTAACTAACTAACTAACTAACTAACTAACTAACAAACTAACTAACTAACTAACTAACGTTCTAGTTGGACGTCTGACAGATCTGATAGATCAGAGAAATGTGACAACCCTAACATTTGATATGGGCTGGACATTTACACAGAAGATGAGTAATTGTTTCCTCATTTTGATAGCTTTTACAGAAGTCAATACATGGAAAACCCATACGTTTCGCATGATTTCCAAACTTGCAATGACCAGTGATAACTGATGGAAAAGCGCTCAGATGCATTCTGCTGAGACCTATTAGATAGGATGTTCTGTAAAAATTCTTGCAAGGCCACAGCAATCTTGAGATCCACCAAGTGTACTCAGAGACCAGTGTCTTGGGCTGAACTGTAACATGTATTTGTTATTTGTTTCTTAATGGCCGATTTTGGGACACCACAGAACTGGTCTATGTCCAGAAAGGCAGTGTTGTTGCCGATTGTGTCTCCGTGTCCTTTGACCCAAACAAGGGTAATTGTCTCGTCATCTCATTAAAAGATACCCGGCAATTTGTCTTGATGTAGAATATACACCGATCACGGATTTAATAGCGGCTTGACTATACACTATAGATTCTGATATCTCTGTTAGATATCTGATAGAACTTAAGCCAATTTGACGCCCTTTTTACCGACGAAATTTCAGCTTGTAAAATAGAGAACTTATCGTTAAATCTAGATTCCAAATTCCTCAATGAAGATGCCATCAGCATTTAAAGTTGGGGGTTCAGAATAATAAGAGTTTGTACTATACAGGAAATCTCTCGTAATGAACGGTTCCGGAATACAATGGAATATTGTAGAAGAATACTGGGAAGAGATCTACAATCTTTGAATGACATTCTGGTTACAGTGTTCATTGCAAGCAGATTTCCGGGTAGCCAGTTTAGCATAGCGAACAACGTTTTACTGGGCAGTTATAAGAACACCAGTTATGAGAAGAGTTGATGATCTCATAACATTCGTGAACATATTTGATATTTTGTCAAACTAAGTAACTAACTAATTGAAAAGTAAGGGCTTAAAATACTAACTATTTAACACTTGGAGGCAAATACTTACCTCGCTCGCTTACAAAACGAGTTTGGTATAAACTTATTACGATCACCTCACAAAAAGAAAAAAATATTGTTTCTTTTTTTTTTTTTGTATAAAAAACAAATTCGAAAAACAATAAGTTATTTGTAAGTCATTACAAAACTCCTTCTAAGTAATGCTACCGATATGTAATAGCCATTGAAAAGTAAGTTGCTGATACAAGTCATTATCAAAATTTCGCTAAAAACATATTTAAGCAAAATTGCTAATTTCTTCAAAACAACAAAACCATTTTACATTTCGTTTCAGTGTAAATTTGGAAAATTCCCATTAATCTTACTTTTCAAATTCATCGAAAATATTTATCTTTTATTTAATTTCTATTATAATTATTGGCAATTTCTTACACAGCTGTGTAATGATGCAAATTACAGAAAAAAAAAAAACAACAAAAATTCTGCTACAAAGAAATTGTTGCCATAAAAATCGAGAGAAACCCAAATAATACAATATACAGTCAAAATTTTTAATATTTTTTGATCGATTTAGTATCGGTAGTCATTTAATGATATGAGAATATAAAGTAAAAATAAATAAACAAACAAACAAATCATTTCAAGATAAAATAGACTTTTGACACTGACCATGAATGTATAAAATACACTGGCGTAATTACAAGATATTTAAAATTTTTACAAAAATAATTTTTCATCATAAACTAATACATATATATATACATATGTGGACCTTGGAATGTAACGAATGATAGGTGGACTTAATAAACGTTTAAATTGTAAAAAGAAAAGAGATTTATGCTAATGATTATGTATGGTTGTAGGAA